GGAAAAGTCATGGCTGAAAGAGCTGGATGCTCTGGCTCGGAAAGAGGGACATGACACAGGCCATTAAAATCCTGCACAGTGGTGAGGGAGTGAGCAGGGAATGATTAATCAATATTTCTTCATCATGCAAGGAAGAAATAACACCCAGGGAAATTCCCAAGCAGCAAATTCCAAGGCAGCAAGAGAAGGATTTACTGCACAGCTCCGTGGGTGTGCAGGGATGCACTGCTGGAGGGGAGGCTTCCAAAGCCACCCAGTCCTCACGTGGGTAAGGAAGAGACAAATATCAGCCAAAAGGCAGCAGAACCCAGCCCTTGTGCAGCCAAATTCCTCCAGACCCGTATTTTAAGCTGAGTTTATCCATCACAAACCCAGGGAGCACTGGTGCCTGCTCCATGTGTGGCTCTGAGCACCCAACACTGTGCTACTGCTACGAGGGCATTTTCCACTGTTTACAACCTCTGGGGATGAAACAGGAGACATCCATCCTGGAATCACACTGCCATCCCTAGGCTGACCTGCACCCCACCAGCCTCTCTGCTTCTCTCAGCTCTTCCTCAAAATATTGGCAAATCCAATCCAACCCCGGGCAAAAGAGCTGTTGGTACTGATCACGTCCAGTCCCTCTGCAGCTCCTTGGTGCAGAGTCCTCTCCATCTGTTTATCACTCTGCAAAACCCACAGGGGCTGAGGGTGTGCCTCCAATCAAGGTTCCCCCCTGAATTTGGTCCAGGAACATCGCCCTCCACCCCTCAGTGGTGCCAGGGAAGGTGTGTCCTGGGGCTTTTCAAGCAGGCCCGGGTGGAATGTGCCAAATTCACCTTCCTCCAGAGCTGCTTTTGGCTGCTGGTGGTTTCACTGCCACCTCAAAGTTTGCAACATCCTGTTTTCCACGGATGTTTAAGCACCCCCCAGTTCACCACATGTCAACTGAAACCTGCAGCTGGAGCCACCACGGGGAGGAGCTGAGAGAAATCAAGGTCACAGCACAGAAAGCAGCAGCAAGAGCTCCTGAAACCCCTGAACCAGAGAGGGTCACTCCTCCCAGCCTGAAATCTGCCCCTGCCACCCACACTGGACAGGAGCTACTGTGGTCCCATCCTGCATGGCCACACTGGGATAAATTTGGGAATATGTGAGCTGGAGCTGCTTTTGCTCAGCATGGATCATCTTCCCCCAGCAGAGCTCACAGCAAACCTCGAGAGCAAAGAGCAAAGACCACACAAACCCTTTCCACCCTCAACGCTGCTTTACTACCAACTTCTTTGACCCTTTCAGAATCCTTGAGGCTGACAGGGCCAAGTGAGTTGTTTCCTCACTGCTGAACTCCTCTGGTTTCATCCTGCCCAGGGTGGCTGTGGGCACAAGTGGCTGATGCTCTGCTCCCAGTCCTGAGCCTTCCAGCTCAGCTCCTGGAGCCTCTTGCAGGGTTTATGCCTGGAATTCAGTCCTGAGAATGGGATTTGCAAAAATAACCGAGTAACTTGGGATGACAGCCTGTGCTCCTGGCTCAGTGACCACGGAAATGAAATCCCCTCCCAGGAGCCTGGGACCTCCGGCCGTGGGACAGGGCCCAGTAGCACTTGGATGCACAGTTCCAGTCATTTTATCATGGAATCATTCAGTCATGGAATCCTGGAATGGTTTGGGTGGGAAGGGACCTTAAAGTCCATCTTATTCCACCCCCTGCCATGGGCAAGGACACCTTCTGCTATGCCAGGCTGCTCCAAGCCCTGTCCAGCCTGGCCTCGAACACTCCCAGGGCTGGGGCAGCCACAGCTTCTCGGGGCATCAGAGGTCAAACTTCCACATTTTTAAGGCATCCAATAGTGTAAAACAAAAGCTTTGACACTATTTGGCCAAGTTTGCTTTTGGGTGAAGCTCAGACACGGTTTGAAGCCAAGAACAAGGTTTTCAAATGAACTTCAAACCTCATTTTGCAGGATTTCCGTCTGTGATTGGAGCCCATGGGTTACATCCCCAGTGGGCACCTCCACTTGCTTTTGCTTTGCCAAAGCAGCATCAGTGACATTCCTTTTTGTGATGCATCATCAAAATTTAAGGGTTTGCCTGGAGCTTCTTCAGCCCATGCAGAGTGTGCACATCTTCAGACGGATGCTTGGGATGCTGGAAATGTGCAGATTTTACCCCCAGATTTTATTTGTCTCCCACAGTAAATTCTACTCCTAGGAAAGGCATTAAATGTCAGGTTATTTCACCCTGAAAAATTAGTTCATCCAGCAGATGCACCTCAAACCTCATCCTCTTACCATCCTTCCCAGCCCCAACATCTTCCCTTCACCCCACTTCAGTCTCAAACACTGTGTTTCAGCCATTTTATTGAAGTTTGTGTATGAAATAACAGTTTCAAGTTCTAATGAGAAAAAAAAAACATTAAAAAAATAAATTCAACATCAGGTAAAAAAATCCACACGACCAAAAAGAAAAAAAAAATCACTTTTTTTTACTGGTAACTGAACACAAGGCCCACACCACGGTGGAGTCACCAGGACAACGGGAGGCAGCAGCTTGGTTTAGCATCAGACTGGTATCAAAAAAACCCAAGTTTTAAACTATTGGAACACAGCTCACTGGCAAAACCAGAGTTTAAAATTAACTCAGAGTAACAAGACTGCGTTTAACACCTCCAGTCCCAAATTGCATTGTTCCTGTGGCACCAGATGAGTCAGGATTTAGTGAAGAGTTTCGTTTTTCAGTCCCATACACTGAATTTCACAATGTTTCACTGTTAATACACCCAGTGTATGTCCAGTTGAGACAGGCATGGAAAGCAGCTCAGCATTACCCAGTTGCACATGTGAAGGAGGGAAAGCAAAGTCAAAATTATATCCAGCCATCTCCATCCCAGGAAGATTCCATGAAAATAGGATGGGAAATGAAGAAACACGAGCTGCTGCTGTGCTGGAGGTCGATGCGACCTTTTGCCACGTTTTGGGGTCTCAGGTGATGAATTAAGAGCCTGTTCTCTTGAAAAATTCTAAATTCCAACATGAGAAGACCTGACTCTCAGCAGAGAGGGGGATTTTCCTGCAAAACCTGAGCAATTTGGACAACAAAGTCCAATTCCAGCACATCCACAGCAGCCTAAGGAACGTGGCAGCAAACACATCTGGTATTAAACCCATATTGTATTTCAGGCCCTCCTGACTCCATTTCCCCTTAATACCACTTGACTCACAATTCCAGCTCTATCAATGACTTGAGCATTGCCAGGCAAATTGTCCTGCTCCAAAATCATCCTCTGGAACAGGATGGACTTAAATGGACTTAAAACCAGCATCAGTGCCTGGCCTTGCAATGGTCAGAGCTGATGTGTTATGGACAACACCAGGCAGGGTCAGAGGTATCTCAGGCCATTCCCTTTGAAACCTGATGATGCAATCTTGGAGAAAGCAGAAAAAATGGGAAAAAGAAACATAAATATACCTGTGTCAGAGGCTGGTGGATGAAAATACTGGGATTAGAAATGTGTAATTTAATTCAACCAGGGCTGCTACAGGACTTTAACCTCGTGCTGAGGGATGACTCTGTGCCTTCCAGCTGACTCTGAGCAATGAAAGGAAAAGCAGGAGAGTGAGGAGCACTGTATCTCAAAAATCCCTTAATTTTAAAAGGATTCAGTAGCAATGACAGCATTTGAACATTTGAACAGAAAACACCCAAGTGTGTGTGGGAATGAAACTTCCAACGTGGTCTAGGGCTGTTTTCTGAGTCCTGGGGGGGGTTGCCAGCACCTGTGGAAAGAGGCTGGAGTCTGGGATGGGACTGCAGGAACCATAGAATCATAACTTAATAGAATCCCAGACTAGTTTTGTGTTGGAAGGGGCCTTAAATCCCACCTTGTTCTACCCTCTGCCATGGGCAGGGACATTTTCCATTAGACCAGGTTGCTTCAAGATGCATCCAGCTTGGCCTTGAACACTTCCAGGGATGGGGCAGCCACAGCTTCTCGGTGCAACCTGTGCCAGGGCCTCACCAAATCCTGACTTTTCCCCCCAGATCCATCAGGGCAAAGCAGCCTCACAGTTATTTCCTCGTTGCCTCCGACAGCCTGTTCCAGCCACTCCTCTAAGCCCCATCCCTGTGCTGTGTCCCCAGAGCCTTCCTCAGTGCCCTTAAACACTCAGATCTTTCCCTTTCTAATTTTGTTGCCTTCTTAAAACAGCTTAAAACAAGGCATTAAAAACAAGCTGCTTTTCATGACCCTACACCAGCCCCGCTCCCCAGATCAGCTTTTCCTGCCTCTCCAGCAGGATGGAGCCAACAGCAGAGCTCTAAAATTAAATGGGGAAAGGGTTGGTGCTCAGCCTTTCGCTGTGTTGGGCACAGAGGAGAAATATCTGCCTGCTCAGAGTCTAAAGAGCACGTCCAAGGCACGACAGCTCCGAGATGCTCTCCCAGCGTCTGGGAGCAGGGCTTTGAAGGACTATGAATAAAGATGAGCTGCCTGCCTTCGGATGATTATGGGAATCAAAGCACGCTATTTTTTGGATCTTCTCTTGATGTCAGCCATCATTAAATCGCTCCTTTTTTTGGTTTTTTTTAATCGGCTGGATACATTTTTAATTTGCCTTCCCCTGCCAAATCCAGCCCTCCGCTCCCAGTGACATTTCCATGCGGCTGCCCTGCTGCGATGGGTATCTTTGGAGTGCACGAGGCTGGAGTCAGAGTGGTGGCAGCACACATTAATACACTGGACTGACAGTTAAAGGCTATCAAACTCTCAATAATTGTGAAAAAAGCACATCAACAACCAGCTGGCTCAAGCAAAAGGAACCCGACGGGATGGAGCGACGTCAACACCCGTATGTACAGCGTGGAGAAAAGGCTGGAATTTGGCAGGATTGTCACTGGTGTAAGATGTCTGTGAGGTGGTTGGGACGCACCGACCCAACTGTGTGAAGGGATCTGGTTTTTCCCACACCTTCAGTCGTCAAAATACATTTTTGAGCCATAACAGAGACACTTAAACAAGTGACTGTTGAAAACAGACGAGGTATAATCATGTTACAGACACACACCCCCCCCCATAAAAAAGCTCAAAAATAAAAATAACTTTAGTACCGATACATTCTATCCCCCATTTTAAGGGCTACTAGATCATGTTCCAAAAGAAACTAAATATAACACCTTTGGGACCAGGGCTTCCCAAGATCCAGGTCTGTGTTGCAATCCAGAAAATCAATCTCCCCCTGTTAATATGTCATTATCTCCGTGGGCAAAGCCCCCTTTATGGGGGCTTTGGCTGTTTGCAGCCCAAACCCATCAGCGTGGTTTTTGGACCAGTCTCTCATGATTTCAGAGTTGCAGAAGCTTCTGTTCAGTCTCCTTTGCAGGTCAAGATCTCACTACAAACCCATCACGCTGCAGGGAGGCTGCAAACAAATATGTTTTGCAGCTCCTTAGGAGTTTTGGAGGTGACATGTCCCAGAAACTCCCAGTTCCCACCTGCCCCAGCATCTGTGGCAATTGGGAAGAGAGATCTGTGGTTATTTAGGGTTCCCAGTGATGGAAACAGGCTCAGCCCTCACCCTCCAAACACTGGGCACTTTTCCTGGTCTTTCTTTAAGGGTTTTTTTTAGGTCTCAGAGTTTTTATGGTCTGAGCATTAATTAATTTTGGTGCTGGAGGGATGCAGGAAGCTGGGTGGACAGTTTTTCTCTGCAGTGACAGGGAGGGATGCTTGGGAGGGAGGTTTGGAAAGCTTTGCAATCCACTCGCAGGCCCTTCCAGATCCACGGGGAATTGCCAGCACGGAAATTTGCTGGAGGATCCCATGGAGAAGCTCCCTCTCCCCATCACCCCTCAGGGCAGGGCAGGGCCAAACTGGAGTTAGTGAGAGCCACAGCTCTAATCAGCTCTAATTTGTGCAGGCAGATTCATTTCCCACCAGGGGTTGTTTCACCTCTGGGATTCTCCGGCATCCCCGTCGAACCTTGGCACCCCCAGCTCATCTCCCTGGGCTCAAGGACCTGCTCCATGGGCTCTTCCAGCATTCCTGCTCCCCAGCCCAGCTCAGGGACCTGCTCCATGGGCTCCTCCAGCATTCCTGCTCCCCAGCCCAGCTCAGGGACCTGCTCCATGGGCTCCTCCAGTGTTCCTGCTCCCCAGCCCAGCTCAGGGACCTGCTCCATGGGCTCCTCCAGCATTCCTGCTCCCCAGCCCAGCTCAGGGACCTGCTCCATGGGCTCCTCCAGCATTCCTGCTCCCCAACCCCCCCAGTAAATCCCAGTGCCAGCAGCACCAGCCCTCTCTCATTCCTTCAGCCCCAGGGCCACAAGGTTTGCACCACGCTGGGAAGAGCAAGAGGAGCAATGTCCCACTGAGAGCCAGATCTATATCTGCTCTTCATTCCCCAACTCATTACATTGACTAAAACTGCTGGGTTTATCCCTTTTTCTTTCTTTTCCTGCCATTTCAGCCCATCCTGCTCACCCTGTACCTGCACATAGCCCCCAGAGACTCCTGGTTTTGGGCCCCCCAGCCCTTCTCCCATGAGCAAGGTCTCCACCACCAATGATGCCATGACAGGAGCAGGAATTCAAGCCAAGGAATTATCTGTGATTAGAAAAACAAACAAAATAAATGCAGCTTCACCAAAGTTGATGCATTCCTTTTAAGAACTACATCATTTCTCAACCTTAGGAGAACTTCTCAACCTGAATTTCAGCTGGAGTTTGCATGTGGGGCTCAGCCAGCCAAAAAGGAAGGTGACTTCTTCTGCAAGTCCAGAGCAATCCCAGCCTGAACCTGCTTGGATCCTGTTTGTCTTCAAAGCTCTTCCGCAAGGAGAGGAGACACGTGAGGAAGACAGTAGGTTTGCTTTGCCATGAATATTCCAAAGTTTTCCCATTTCAGAGCCTTTCTTCCAGTTAGGGTGTTTGTTTTTAAGTGCATCCCCACTCAGGTTGTGCCTCAAAGCATGTCACAGGTGCCTCCTGTGGATGTTCCTCATCCCCTGCCTGGAATTTGGTGTGAAATGCAGGTAAAGAGCTCTGCTGGGGGCAGGATTCAGGTTTTGGTGCTGCCTCCAGGCAGAGTGGTCCTTGTTGAACCTTCCAGGTGCCTGGCAGAAACCTCACGGCTTGTCCTTGGACACATCAGCCTGAACTCAAGAGTCTGCTCCACAGACATAATTCTGTCTCCTGTTACCTCCCCTTGAGCATTCCCTTCTTCAGAGGAAGCTCCAACTCCCTTGGTTCCGTCCAGTCCAAACTAACATTTCCCAAACCATTTCAGGGAGTTACAGCACTGCAGACACAGAGGTTCCTGTGCTCATCTGAGTCCCACCAACATTATTCTCACCCTTAAATCCAACACTCTTGCAAGTGTTTCCTTGCTTCTCTGACTGAGTATGTGCTGGGCAGATTTGAGTCTCCAAGATGGAAGAGGCAGCATCAGGAGGTGGGATAAAGCTGGAGAGGGAGAGGGGGGGAGCCAGAAGCAGGAGGGACATCAACTGTTTCCATTTATCCCTTTGCAGATGATTTATCCCTTTGCAGACCACTTATCCTGCTGCACCAGGATAACATTGATCCCTGCAGTTCTAAGAAATGCAGTGAGGTCAGAGAAACCCCAGGTTTAACAGCTTCCCAGCCCAGCACGGGCAACCCACAGCTCTAAACCTGCCACCCAAAACCTCAGTGTGCAAAACGAAACAGGAATGGGCAAAGGAGGAATGGACTTCCCAAGTGAGGGAATACTATAATATTCCCTGTGGAAGAGCAGAAAAGGACACCCAGGCTCTCATGAAACAAAGCATGAGCATGATCAGCCAGGATTCATGTTTTTATACCTTTTCCACCTCTGGAAATTCGATTTTTCCTTGGTTTTCCATGGAGTGATCCTGAAAGCAAGGCACAACTTGTTGACTGTTCAACATCATTTTCCTCAGCATTGCTGGAGACATTACTTTCTTAAGAAGGACTTAAAGTAAATCACAGCCTTTGGTACAGCACAGAACTACTTATAAAGGGCATTTACAGGAAAGGGAGAAAAATGGAACAGAAATTATTCAGAAAGAGCTGAGAGCAGCCCGTGGCCTTCAGCAGGGAACAGTGAGAGCAACTGGATTCCCTCTCTCCCTCCCACTCCGAGCAAAACACTTCGACTGAGCTTTAGCAGCTCTGCTTAATCTTTCCTTTCTGTTTGCTTAAACTTTCAAGTGATTTTTTTTAAAAATAATAATAAAACCAGACTGAAATAATCTCCAAATTTCCACCTCCCCTCCTCCTTTTCCCTGGTTTTGCTCAGTCTGGTTATATTGCACATGAGTTGGAGACAATCCTCTGGCTGCAGAGATGTTTCCTTCCACATGAAGCACTTGTTAACACGGATAAGATGGCAAATATTCCATAGGTATTCATGTATTTATGGAATATGAACTGGGTTTAACTGGGGAGGACAGTCTGGTCCACAGCAGCGTTGGTCACCATGTCCAGGATGTTTGACTTTTCCTTGGAGCTGTTTTATTTCTCAACACAGTCCTGGAGGTCGTAATTTTGAAACGTCTTCTGTTATCTGTTGGGCAGAGCAAGAAAAAACCACTTTTATGCTTTGGAAAACAAGAAACAGGTTATTTTTTTTCAAAGTAAAGTGGAAGGGATGTCACACGTTGGGCCCCTCAGGCAAATTCACGTCTCCATTTCTCACGAATGAAAAGCGAAAACTTGCTAATTAAAATCCTTTAATGGACTAAATACCACACAGTCTAAAGTGAGCTAAAGATAGAAAAGAAGATTCACTAAATAGATCCTGGTTATTAACTATTATCTCACTAATGGAAAGTTCCAAATCCAGAATAATTAGCACGAAGTGGGTTTTCCTCATCATGTTTTTGTCTTAGTCAAGCTGGGTTTGTTCCAACTCGATCACACAATATTGTGCAACTGGTTGATCTTATAAATCCAATATTGGGGCTGATCTCACTCCCAGTACTTGGACTGTGGAGTTGCTCCCACAGAGCTCAAACTCAACACCCCATTTTGAGGCAGGAATGGAGCAAAGGGCCAGAAAATTGTCCCAGTCTCTGCAGCGCTGGAGCGATGAGCTCTTGGACCCCCCTGGAATTGCAGCAGTAACTCAACAGCACCAAGGGACTCATCCTGACTCCTATTTTAATATAGGGAGATGCTCTTCTCTGTCTTTAAGACACAGAAATTCCTACAAATTTCATGCAACTGTTTATATCCCTCTCATTTTTCAGAAAATCCATGTTCTGCCTTCAGAGCAATCCAGGTATCCCCCTCCCCCCATCAGGTGGGAATGAAGTCGGGTGCTTCATTCCCAGCCAGTGCTGAGGAAAGGGTTGGAAGGAGCTGCAGTCCCAGCTCAGAGCCCAACCTAAGGCACTGGGACCTGCCTGGTCCCAGCTTAGTCCCCAAATCAGCCTGTTTTCCACAAAGGGAGAGGGAGGATGGAGATATGCAGGATGGGATCCATGTGCTGAGGAGGGAGACATCCACTCTGGATGCAGCAGGGATGATGATACAGGGGGGGTGATGTGGCAAGGATGATGGGGATGCAGGGATGCAGCTGAAGGGATGATGGCAGGGATTATGAGGATGCAGGGATGAGGTACAGGGATGGAGAAGTTGCAGGAATGATGAGGATGCAGGGATGAGGTACAGGGATGGAGAAGTTGCAGGAATGATGAGGATGCAGGGATGATGCTGCAGGGATGAGGATGTTGCAGCTATGATGAAGTTTCAGGGATGAAGTTGTAGGGATAATGAAGATGCAGAGATGATGAGGATGCAGGGATGATGAGGATGCAGGGATGATGAGGATGCAGGGATGATGAGGATGCAGGGATGATGGTACAAGGATGAAGGGATGATAAGGATTCAGGGATGAAGTCGCAGGGATGATGATGTTGCAGGGATAATGGGCATGCAGGGATGATGTTCCAGGGATGATGCTGCAGGGATGGTGATATTGTGGGGATGATGATGCATTTGCAAGGATGATGAGGATACAGGGATGGTGATGTTGCAGGGATGATGAGGATGCAGGGATGATGAGGATGCAGGGATGGTGATGTTGCAGGGATGATGAGGATGCAGGGATGATGAGGATACAGGGATGGTGATGTTGCAGGGATGGTGAGGACGCAGGGATGATGAGGATGCAGTTGCAGGGATGAAGTTGGAGGGAGGATGATGTTGCAGGGATGATGCTGCAGGGATGATAAGGATGCAGGGATGATGAAGATGCATTTGCAGGGATGAGGATACAGTAGCAGGGATGAGGATACAGTAGCAGGGATGATGGGGATGTAGGGATGGTGATGTTGCAGTGATGGTGATGTTGCAGGGATGAGGATACCACAGGGATGCTAAAAGCCAGCAGAGAAAGGAAAGAGGTAAGAATTCCCACAAGGAGCAAAATTCCCTTGTAAGGCAGTGCAGCACTCAGGGAAATGAGCTTCCAGAGGGGCTCAGTGCTCCTTACAAGGGGCTCAGACCAGCCAGTTGTTCAAATACCAGCTTATCTTGAAGTGCCAGAAGGGACTACTCATGGACTTAAAGCTAACTGGGGTTTATGCTTTATTAGACTGGGCTTGCTGGGGGGATTACACCCTCTCCCACCTGCCAGCAGGGAAGGGCTTCTGTCTTTTTAGCAAAGCAGTGATCAAACTGCTGGATCTTCAAGCAGCACTGGAGTGTTACACACCCATTAAATAAATACACAAATAAAACCCAAATAGCACCTTCAGCCTGGGAAGTGTCAGTGATTCGGCCATGAAGGGGAAGCTGGAGTTGATGCTCTGCAGATTAAGTGGTAAATAACAATTTTATCCCCACCAGACAAATCATCCAGTGCTTTGGGGTACTCTGGTGCCTTTCCAAGTGTATCCTTGCTCTTGCAGAAAGAAATCCGAAATCCTCAGCCTAACAGTTATGTTATTTCACTGAATTTGGTAGGAACAGCAGTAGGGGTGAGAAGTCATGAGCATTGTGGAGATATCACTGCTCCAGCTCCTGAAGGCATCCAGATGTCTTTCCATCAGACAGGGGTGATGAAATCCTCTCTACTCCAAGAGAAACAGAGGATATTAAACAGCAGCCACAAAAATTAGATGTTTTTGAATAATCTAAGCCAAATAACTTGTATCTGTGCATTTAGAGCTGCTGAACCAGCTCCTGAGAGCACAAGTACAGAGCAGATCCTGAGTCCTCCCAGGGGACTGGAAAATAGCTCCTGTTTGGGCCAGGTTTTTAAGGGATAAACAAAGTGACCTGCAAAAACGATGGGTCAGGCCATCTGTCACTGATCCCAAACAATATGCTGGGATGGCTGAGTCTTAGCACAGAATTACAGAGAAAGATATAATTGATGCCAATCAACACAGGGTTAGGGAAACCAGATCTTATCATATTAACTGATATCTCTTCTTACTGAGTCCCACGCTTGGCTGATAAAGGTGCTTGTGTAAAGTTGTCCTCTGAGAGAATCACATGGCAGTTTGGTTAAGAAAACAGAGCAATAAAGCCAAATTCCCAGGAGATATCACAAGTGAAACACCCAGCTGAACCCAGGCCACTCCTCCTCATTCATGCCATGTTTTCTTTGAGCGTTTTGCATCGAGGATGGGAGAGACACTCCTGAAAGTTTCCAGCCCCAGGAGGAAACAGCCCAAGCTTGTTTCTGATGCTGCAGAAAGATTTCCTCCTTTAATTCAGAGGGATTTGAGGTGCAGAACACTCAGGAGCCAGCACCCACTGATGCACAGGCAGAGGTAGGAAACCCCTCAAACCTGCAGTGCTGCACCCAACTCACATTAAACTCCTTCCACATCCCCCCTGCAAACTCAAATTCAGAGCAGGCAAGTTCATTTTAAGCCCAAACTTCTGATGTCTCATTTCTGACCTGCTGCAACAACTTGAGGTTCAAATTGTTACAGAGCCATGGCGGCAGCTCCAAGCAGAGACCAGCAAGGAGGGAGAGGAGGGTTCTCAATTCTAAATGCACAGAGAATTCAGGAGAAATGGGCCATCAGGGTGGAAAAGGAGAGGCACAGGGAAGAAGCCAGGCAGAGAGGGACCTGGGAGTTTGGACTGACAGGAAGCTGAACAGGAGCCAGAGTTTGCCCAGGTGGCCAAGAAGGCCAATGGATCCTGGCCTGGCTCAGGAACAGGGTGGCCAACAGGGCCAAGGAAGTGATTCTGCCCCTGGACTCAGCACTGGTGAGGCCACCCCTGGAGTGCTGTGTCCAGTTCTGGGCCCTCAGCTCAGGAAGGACATGGAGGGGCTGGAGCAGGGCCAGAGGAGAGCAACGAGGCTGGGGAAGGGACTGGAGCACAAGTGCTGGGAGGAGAGGCTGAGGGAGCTGGGGGGGGCTCAGCCTGGAGAAGAGGAGGCTCAGGGGAGACCTCCTCACTCTCTGCAACTCCCTGACAGGAGGGGGGAGCCAGGGGGGGTTGGTCTCTTTTCCCAGGCAACCATCAGCAAGACAAGAGGGCTGGGTCTGCAGCTGTGCCAGGGGAGGGTTAGGTTGGACATTAGGAAGAATTTCTTTGCAGAGAGGGTGCTCAGCCATTGGAATGGGCTGCCCAGGGAAGGGGGGGATTCTCCATCCCTGGAGGTTTTTAAGCTGAGACTGGATGTGGCATCAGTGCCATGGGCTGGGAACCACGGCGGGGTTGGATCAAGGGTTGGACTTGATGATCTCGGAGGTCCCTTCCAACCCAGCTGATTCTGTGATTCTATGAAATCACAGGAGAGGAGGATGGTGGTGGAAAGGAGAACTGAAGGCAGAGCTGGCATCTTGGGAAGCTGAGTGAAACCTCGGCCTTCCCTCCACCCAGGGAAAACAACTGTGATTATTGGGGTAGCCAGGGAAGGTCTGCAGGCTCTGCCAGCCTCAAGAAAGCTGAATTCCATAAAACCTTTGGAGGAGTCCTTATTTCTTGCTCTGTGCTTCAAAACTGCCTCCTCCTTCCAGAACAGGTTTCCCTGCAAAAACTTTCTGAGGCTGCTCAGTGTCAGTGGGGAAACTGAGGCACAGAGGAGCCAACCCACCCAAAGCCAGTCAGGAAACACCACAGTGCTCCTACCCTCCATCTCTGGGTGTAGGGACACCCAGAGCTGGCCTAACAACCCAAATCCCCCCAAGAGGCACAGCATCACCCATCACCCCCATTGCACTCAGCTCCTTCCTTGCACCAAGCCCAACAGCAAAACTCACCTCTCTGCAAAGGCAAAAGACACTTTGCAAAGTGTGTGTTTATCTCAGCCAACCTCCATCCCAATCTTCAGCTTTCCATGAGAGCAAGACCCCAGGACAGACCCTGCTGCAGCAGCTCTGCTTCCCCCACCACAGCTGAGCCTCCAGGGCTTCCACCACCGCCCACCCCATGACACAGCCCCGCAGGATTCTCCACATCTATCCATGACGGGGCTTTGGAGGAAGCAAAGCAAAGCATCTGTGCTGAGCAGCAGCAAAATAAACCTGATTTCCTCCTGCAGCCTTGAGGTGGAGAGAGGAGAGAGGAGAGAGGGAGAGGAGAGAGGGAGAGGAGAGAGGGCCACTGGCTCGTCTTGCCACACATCCAAACCCAGCCTGCCCATGTTAGAGATGCTAAAAATGAAGTGCAACCACTGTAGCAAAGCAACAGACGTGCCAGAACTTAAACATGCTCAGAAAAGCGTCGGAATCACAAGTCTGAAGGAAGTGAATCATTCCTAAACAAAGCCAGCAGCGCCTGCTGCCGTCGGCGGGGCTGAGCCAGGGGCTCCAAACGAGTGTGAAGGAAACGGCCGTTCCCGCTGAGAGGAGGGGAACGGCAGCGATCAGGGAGCGTTTCAGCTCCTCCTGACTTCAGTGAGAAGCTGAAGGAGATTGGAGACATGTTTTAATTTACTTGAGCATGTCTTGGTTCGTAAGAAGGAGAGGAGTGATGGTGCCCCGCGGGGAGGTTCATGCGGGGAGGTTTCCCTGCCCTGCCGCTGAGCATCCTCAGCACGAAAAACTCAGGCTACGAGCAGTGATGAGACACAGACAGACCCTGAAACTTGTGGGTGTCAGACAGCAGCAGGGCTTGATTCTGTGGCTGCTTTTTTGCCAGCAACAGCGATAAAAGGGCTCCAGCTGCAAGGGCAGAGTGAGACCCTGCACACACCCCTCTTCAGAGGAACCATCTCACACAGGGGATGGTTCTCCTGAGCAAAAACTGGGATTTTCTGAGTGACAAAGAGCAGGAGCCCTGACGCCTTCCCAGGCAAAGCAGCCAACACATGTCCATCAGGTGGGATAAATATCCCTTTGACAAAGACATCATTACTCATTTTCCTGTTTGGGAAGCCAAGTATGGGAGTAAAAGGTCTCAGTTACATCTCAGGCCCAACCACAGAGGATCTGGGAGAGCTTTGGCTGAAGCAAGAGCCAGGAGGGACTGGGGAGACAGGGCTGGGGTTGCTCTGCAGGGACCCCCTGGCAGGGAATGAGTCCCCTCCCTGGGATGGTTCTGCCTTACACGAGGTCTGGACCCCTCCTCCTCACGTCAGTCTCATTTCTGACCTAAGAACTCTCCTATCACCACCCTCAAAAATGAAGTCAAACCACTTCCCCTCCACCACTGCCAGAGAAGTGATTCCCAGCTGGGATGAGGCACCTCGGGGCACCTGCCCCAAAGTATCCTCATCAAAGTGGAGATGACCACGTTCCCAGGACTGTTTCCGCAGGAAAGAAGCACATCACTCCATCATTCCATGCTCAGTGTCCAGCTCCCACCTTTGGCTCCATGCTCAGCTCCCACCCTGCACCCACAGCAGCACCCACTGGGATAGCCTGGACCTCTGCTGTGTCAACAGCACCCAGAAAAACGGGAAAAGGCAGGAATAGCCCATTCTTAACACATCCTCCAGCTCTGCAACACCCCCAGAGTCAAGCCAAGCACCCCATTCAGACTATGGGTGGGACCCAGAGCAGGAGAGCAGTGAAGGAGACAATTTATAGAATATTGCCCTGCCCACAGCACCCTATAATTATAGAATCAGGGAATGTTTTGGGTCAGAAGGGACCTTAAAGGCCGTCTATGACAAAGATGACCAGAAATCCCCTATTTCCCTGTGCCCACACCACTGCCCTTGCCGAGGCTGCTGGTGCTCTGAGCTCTCCTTCCCGATACAGACAGCAAACTGAAGGGCAAAATAAGTTACTTTTGTACCCTTTTTGTCCATTTGCACTCCCGTGTTTGCAGCCCACCCAGAGATCACTTGTTAAAGCGTTTAAAAATGGGGAAAACAAAGCCCTGCTTCCCTCGGGCTGCGCTGGAGCCGCCGTGTGCTCTCACCAGGATATGCATATTTTAAAAGCTTGGCAGGAGAGGGCTCCAAACTACACAATTAAAGAGATTTTACACAGAACGCTCTCCAGTCACTGCAAGAGACCCTTTCCCTGTGTTATCCCTGCAGGAACGACCCCTCTGGAGCCGGTGACCCTGGATGGCTCCTTTCCCTCTGCTGGGGAAAGCACTTCTCTGCCCTTTGCCTTGCTTAATTGCCCATAAAGTGGGGATTAACAACAAAAACCGACCTCTTTTGTCAAGGGATAGAGCAGGAACAATTGCCTGGGAAGAAATTTAACCCTCCTGGAGGAAAGAGATACCTCCAGCCCTTGTCTGCGTCCACCAGTGCAGTGGGACAGCTACTGCTCTGCTCCTCGGCCACATCAAGCACCCGAAGGGCATCTATTGTGCTGGAGAACAACAGACCTTTTTAGAAGAGGTCAGGCCTGAACACATACAAAAACGAGAGGGCAAAGACAGGAGAAAAAGGTGGCAGTGTCGAAGTACCAACTGGAGGGGCCAGGGCTGGGGTTGTTGTGTCCCTGCAGCCCCCGCTACCAAGGATGTGTTTTGAGGTGGCATCAAGGGCTGAAACGGGGGAATAAAATACAGGCAAAGGGAAAGGGAAGGGAGCCTGTGAAAAGAGGGAGCAAGGCTGTACAAGGCTCTAGAGCACCCAGTGCCTCTATACTGGGGGTTGGAATGAGATGATCTTTAAGGTCCTTTCCAACCCAAACCACTCTATGATTCTATGATAAACTGAAAGCATCCATGGAGACAGCTCCAGCCTCCCAGGGCTGCATCCCTTGCTCCCATCCTGCAGTGCCAGCAGTGTAATTTGTCTCTAAGGTGACCAGGAGGACAGGGGAGGAGGAGGACGTTTCTGAGAGCATCCCTGGGGCCGAGATGGGGATTACCAGTGCTCCAGGGTCCCTGCTTCCCCGTGCTCGCTGGCTGGGCACTGGGAAATGTCAGCCAGGAGTTGTGGTAATGCCCTTTCCTCCATTTAATGTAATAAGCTGAGGCTGGAGGAGCCCTTTGCCTTGCAGACAGCAGGCAGCAGCTCTGCTAATACTAATCCCCTAATGCTGCCCCTCTAAGCACATTAGGAACAGTTGAGTCCAACACGCTGCGAAGGCTGAGGCTCATCTTTAACTCCCCAGGGACTGTAAAACACTCCCTGGTCCCCTAACAGGAGGCTCATGGCAAGAGAGAAGAGCCAGTTTAATAACAGCTGGTGTGGAAAGAGCAGTTTTTCAATGATCTCTCCAATTCCTCACACAACACGTGCAGCAGCCAGTCCCAGAGAAACCACCAGACCACGGAACAGAAAGTATTTGTAGTAGGATCCCAGAATGGTTTGGGTTGGAAGGGATCTTAAAGACCATACAGTTCCACCCCCCTGCCATGGGCAGGAACATCTTCCACTATTCCAGGTGGCTCAGGTTGCTCAGTTTATCTCATTGAACCTACAAGACAGCAGAGAGGGAAGATGCTGAGAGAAAAAGGGCAGACCATTAAAGGATACCCCCAGTTCTCCACTTACATTTTCTGGGTGCATCTAAAGAGCAGCAGTGATTTTATATTTTTCAGTGATACCATTCAGCACTGAAAAGTACTTTTTTCAGAGGGAAAGAGGTGACATTTAGGTGGGATATTGGGAAGGAATTCTTCCCTGGGAGGGTGGGGAGGCCCTGGCACAGGTTGCCCAGAGAAGCTGTGGCTGCCCCACCCCTGGAGGTGTCCAAGGCCAGGTTGGACGGGGCTTGGAGCAACCTGGGCTAGTGGAAGGTGTCCCTGCCCATGGCAGGGGGTGGAACTGTATCTCTAAGGTCCCTTCCAACCCAAACCATTTGATGATTCTACTGGAGAAAAACTGCCTTTTACTCCAGTGGGTGAAGTGGTTTCCTTGCCACCTCTCCCATCCAGCACCATTTACCATCAATCAAATCCATTTGAAACTATTCTGCCCCTGCAAAATCAGGCAGGGAGGAGTCAGGAAAACAAATCAACAACCTGCAAGGTTTGTGCTTATTTTAGATGGCAGAGAAACCGAAAATTGTTCTGTGCTGTTTCCAGGAGCACATGTGGTTTCCGCACCCTGAGCAGCTGCCACGAGGAAAACAGAGACAAAAAAATTCATCTGCAAACTCTCCAAATGAGATGTTTCCACTCCTTTCAGACTCAAACCCTCCTTTTAGGAATATGCATTGTGGGAAAGCTTTAATAACAATAAAATTTAGTAACAATAAAAGTTAATAACAACAAAAAGGGAGAACTCATAGGCAGAAATGGTATTTCAGCCTACTGGCAGCCTGGGCAAAAGGCAAGCTGGGGTGTTCCCAGTTATCCCAGACAAGGAATTCCAGTTATCCTGGATAAGGGAGCTCAGGTTTGTAACTTGCTGTAATGCTCCAGAGCATCTTCCTAATAAAGATCATTTGTCTGACCCTCAGCTGATGAAAACTACAGAAGCTCCAATAAAACCATCACACACCAGGAGCCAAGGAGCTGCTGTGATGTTTTTCTTGGGGCTAAGGGAGAGTGTTACAAACTGTCCAGATCCTTTAAAACTGGGATAAAGTCCCAGCTAAACTCTGATTTTGGCATGGCTGGCATCTCTCAGGACAAATCCCCCTCTCCACACCCTTGGGAAAAGTGTTACTTGCACAGGTTGGGGCCAGAAGTCTCTCTCCTGAACACCTTTGCCGTGTGCTACCCCAAAGGAATTTGGCTTTCTTTAACCCAAAATCCAGCAAAACTGAGGAGAGTCAGAGCCAAGGTCCTCAAGGCTGAGTAGCCTGGAGCTGGAAGCATTAAACCACTGAAAACCACCTTTTTAGCACAGAATTGAAGAAATCCAGCTGCAGAGAAGCAGCAGAGACTCCCTCCTACCACAGCACTAAAAAGTAAAGTGAACAGCAAATATAATCAGAGGAGGAAGTGATCCCACTTTATCTAAAATTTATAAAAATACCCAAGAGCAGCAGGATAGGCTGGAAAATAAAAGTAAGCAGTGGAAAGCATGGGGTTTGTCCCCCCAAAAAGCAACATTCCTTTACGACTCCATTAAACTGTGTCCCGTGCGAAGCTCACCTGATCCCTTCAGATGTCCCGTGGCCCCTGGTGCACACGTGAAGATGAAGGTGGTGAGTTTTCCCTGGTGGGGTTTTTGGTTATTTTTCAGTCCTGCTCTCTCCTGTCCCCCTTGTCTCCCAAAGCTGCTGAGGCTTCCCAGCCGAGCTTCCCGCTCAGGACCGTTTCCCAGTGGGTTTGGAGTCATTCTTGGTGGAGCAGGATGAACCTCCATCCCCAAATTTCCCTGCCAAAATTGCTCCTCAGCAAGGGACAGGTGGGTTTGGAGGTGTTTATTGCCTGGGGGGGCCTTATTGGGCACAGGGGACGTGGCCCAGGAAGGGGGTGTGAAGCCACGATGTCCTGCGGGATGGCAGGGCTGGAACCATCTGGAAAAAGGTTTTTTGCAGGAAGAGCGAGGACCAAGGGGGATGGGAGCAGGGATGCCATGACAACCTTTTGGGGTTTCCCAGGAAACCAGGGTCGCCATGGCAACTGCATCACTCCTGGTTGGAATCAGTGACTTCCGCTGGAAGGCGTGCTCACCGCTTTAATCTTCTTGCGAGAAGAGGCTGCATCTCTCCCAAAAGCATTGCAAAAAAAGGAGGAAACGTCCCTTTGTCTCTGGCTGGGTGGGTTTGGAGGCTGCCCAGAGATGATCCTGCATCCCCTGGTCCTCACTGGCATCTCTCTCAGCTCCCGAAACCATTGCATTGTGCCTTTCCCTTCCCTCCTCCCCACACGCAGCCCCTCTGCACAGATCAAACTGGATGGAATAATTCCATCAGGTTACACGGGAAGGGAACTAAGAACGAAAAACAAGGGCTCTGGGTTGGGGTTTTTTTTCTATTTAAATCAGCATTGATTGCACTCCGTCTCTGACCAGATTAGAATTTCATCAACAGTCTAATGGGGAAAAAAAAAAATGGAATCTGTGATGTGCCCGTAATGGCACATGACAGGATTCAATATAAAGCATCGTTTAACGACGTGGTAACAGAGACTCTCTGCAAAATTAAACGGTTATTTCCTCCCAACCCCCTCCCAGTACTCTCGGCTACATGTTTTCCTCATTCCCCCACCCAACCCGGGGTTGTTAATCCAACAACTGAGCTTATGTGACGGCAGGGAAATCGGCTCCACGCTGCCTTCAGGGAAAGGGGGAGGAAATTCAGGAGCAAAGCGAGAGGATCCCCAAAACCCCACAAAGCAAAGCTGCCCTGCAACACGTTGCAGAACATCTGTTTCGACAGTGAGTGTGGTTTGTCTTCATCTTCCTTGTCTTGTTACCCTTTAGCCGTCCTCTTCTTTGGAGAATTTTAAATCCTTTTGTTTTTGGATCTTTAGAAAGGCAGGATCTAAAAAAAAACCCATATCAAAACGAGGGCACACACAGACCGACGATGGTGCATGTTCCACACAACACCGACACACAGTCACTTTGCATTATTATTGTTATTATTATTATTATTGGTATCATTTTACCGCATCCTCAGGTTTTTGTTGCTGTTTGTTTGGTTTGGGATTTTTTTTTTAAACATCCGTGAAGATCTTTTTGATGTTCACACAGTTGGGATTGTTTGTGGTTGTGCAGTTGCCTGCTTTGAAGGCAGCCTGTTTGAATGCACTGTGGTTGATCCCCCCTTCCTCGATGACCATGTATTCGGACTTGCTGAGGGTGGAGTTGCTGCGAGCCTTCTTCATCTCCTCGCTGGACGAGAGGTGCTGGCAGCTCCCAACGTGCAGGTACTGGGCTTGTTCCTCACCTTCTGTCTCCCGGTGGTAGAAATAATTGAAATTGGAGACTATCACAGGCACGGGGAGGGCGATGGTCAGCACCCCCGCAATGGCACAGAGAGACCCCACGATCTTGCCCCCAATAGTGATGGGATGCATGTCCCCGTAGCCCACCGTGGTCATGGTCACCACGGCCCACCAGAAGGCATCGGGGATGCTACTGAAACCCGAGCTGGGGTCATCGGCCTCGGCGAAGTAAACGGCGCTGGAGAAGAGGATGACGCCGATGAAGAGGAAGAATATCAACAGGCCCAGCTCCCGCATGCTGGCCTTGAGGGTCTGCCCCAGGATCTGCAGCCCCTTGGAGTGCCGGGAGAGCTTGAAGATGCGGAAAACCCGGACCAAGCGGATGACTCGGAGGATGGCCAAGGACATGGCTTGCTGGCCATTGCCTTGCCTCTCCGCCAGCTCAGTGCCCAGAGTGATGAAGTAGGGAATGATGGCCACAATGTCAATGATGTTCATGATGTTCTTGGAGAAGGTGGCCTTGCTGGCAGGCAAAGAAACGGACCAGCAGCTCGAAGGAGAACCAGATGATGCACAAAGTCTCCACCACAAAGAAAGGGTCAGTGAAGGATGACACCATGGAAGCAGCCGAGGACGAGGAGTTGGTGAAGACTTCAGGTGGGAGTGGGCCACCGCCCGTCCCAAAGGTCCCCCCAGTTCCCTCATAGTCGTGGTCATCCCTGAATTCAGGCAGGGTCTCCAGACAGAAGATGACAATAGAGATAAGGATGACCAGGACAGAGACGATGGCAATGCCTCGGGCCGGCCCAGAGCTCTCAGGGTACTCGAAGAGGAGCCACACTTGGCGCTGAAACTCCTTGTCGGGAAGCGGCCGCTGCTCCTCCCGAATGAAACCCTCGTCCTCCCGGAACTTCTCCATGGCCTCCTCCCCGAGCTGGTAGAAGCGGATCTCCTCGGAGAAGATGTCGATGGGGACGTTGACGGGCCGCCGGATGCGCCCGCCCGACTGGTAGTAGTAGAGGATGGCATCAAAGCTGGGGCGGTTGCGGTCGAAGAAATACTCGTTGCGCAGGGGGTCGAAGTAGCGCATCCTCTTCCGTGGGTCCCCCAGCAGCGTCTCAGGGAACTGTGCCAGCGTCTTCAGCTGGGTCTCAAAGCGCAGCCCCGAGATGTTGATCACCACCCGCTCGCAGCACTCGTGCTCCCCAGCGCCCGCGGGCTGCCCGGCGGGCGGGGCCGGGGCCGGGGGCTGCTCGTAGCGCTCCCCTCCGAGCAGCGCCGGAGGGGGCTGCGGTTCTTCCAGCAAAGGGTCTCCTCCGCCGCCTTCCACCACGGTCATGCTGCCTTCCTCGCCTTCCTCGCCCTCCTCCTCCTCCTGCTGGGGGCCGGGCTGGGGGGCGGCGGGGGGCTCGGTGTAGCCCAGGTTGTGGTGGCTGCTGCTCGAGCCCCGCGGGTGCCGACCGGCGCAGGAGGCGGCGGGAGAGTAGAGCAAGCTCCGGCGCTCGTCCATAAAGGTGTGGGGCGGAAGGGGAAGGGGGGGGAGGGAGGATCGGAGAGGCGGCAGCCGAAGCCTCTTCTTCCTCCTCTTCCTCCTCCTCCGGGCGGAGAGGGAGAACCAGCCGGTCAACTCCTCCGGCGGCTGCCGCTGCTCTGAAGAGCCGAGGCTCTTCTTAAAAAATCCGCCCCCAGCCCTAGCACCGCCTCACTCGGTCACCGCTCCCGGAGACACCCACCAGCCCCCGGCCCTGCCCCGCGGACCCCGCCAGCTGCGGCCAGCCCCTCCCCTGGCCCTGCCTGGGGGACCCCCATCCATCCCCCGAACAGCGCCGAGGGGCTTCACAGTCTCCTGTGAGAGCATCCTTTGGTGCTCAGCGGGTTGCAAGTAGGGAGAGGGGTTTGGGGTTTTTTTTAGGGTTTGTTTTTTTTTTTTTTCTGGCAGAACCGCTGCCTAGAAAGAGTTTTTCTGCCCTTCCCTGTGTGAAATGTGATTTTTATTCTGGATTTTGGGGGTTGCCTGTTGGTTTTCAGCCACGGTTTCACGCGGTGGCAGGGCTGTGGGCAGGGGAAAGCCGACAGCGCAGCCAGAGACAACAGTTGGTTTGAATCAGCGTCTGGGTTAGGCTGGGGATTGTTTTTTCTGTCTAGGAGAGCGTGTGCATATGTATGTGCACACACATGTGTGTGCGTGTGCTCCTCTTCAAAATAAACAGAGAAGCAAAGCTGAGCCAGCCCTCGACCAGGGAGGTTTCAGGCTGGACCCAAATCTGTCTTTCAGACTTTCCAGCAAGAAAACCAAAACCCTTCAGTTTGTTGTTTTTTTATTTATTTTTTTATTTCTTTCTCCCTTCAGGGGTGTATGCAAATGGTTCAATTCTGGGCAAAAGGGACTTTTCCAGGTGAAAAACCTCCTCTGCAGGAACTCAGCGCAGGAAAACACCCTGTCTCCAGGAGATGTGGATCAGGGACAACCTCTGATCTCTGCACCCCCATCAACCCCCCCCTCCAATTTTCACAACTCACCCCAACAGCCAGAAGCACTTCAATCTCCAATCATGTGACAAGTGGGGTTTATGCAATTCAGAGAACTCCTGGTTTAGGAAAGAATCATGGAATGCTTTGAGTTGGAAGGGACTTTATATCTCATCTCATTCTACACCCCAGCCATGGGCAGGAACACCTTCCACTGGACCAAGAGCTCAACCATGAGGGTTGGGGAGAAGTGAGAAGGGAGACCACTTTCCCTTCCAGAGACAGATGGGTGGTCCCACCACGATGAAATTTAAAACCCCTCCACCATCCCCACTTGAGCTCATCTTCCTGGTTATTTTTAACCAGCACAGCCTCCAGAAGATAAGGAGAACAAAAGATGAAAAAAAATTAAACTTATTTATACTTTAAATCAGAAACAAGCTGTCCAAAATACACAAATCTGGGTGGGGGAGGAACAACGACAAATATTGGTGTAAGAGCTGAGCCTGAGCTCTAAATGGCAGCTGAAGAGCGTGGATGGAGTCTGAGTGAGCTGAGCCCACCTTCTTCTTTGCTGACAGAGTGGAAAACACCTCTGCCACCAGAAATCAAGGAGGATTCCCACAGGAATGAGCCCCAGCAAGGTGTGGATGAAAAGGTGGACGTTGACTCACAACTCCACGCAGGGACACTCATCTCTAGGTCATGTCACCTTGCCCCAGACTTGGACACAAGTCTCTTGTCACCATCTCCATCCATGGCTTTAAGCCTCACTTTTAAGACCTGTTTTCCTTGAGGGTCCAGATCTCCTGGGATGAGGGTATTGAAGCACTGGGTCCCCAGTACTGCTTCCCCAGCATTCCTACAGCAGTTCATAGTGCTCATCAGCAACATGCTCCCAGTAAGAGCATCCACCCCTCCCTTCCAACCCACAGCATCTTCCAGCCATCCCAACCCCCAGATAAAGCAGAAAGCAAAGCCCTGGAACACCATTAACCCTTGAGCTGCCCTTGTTGCTTGCAGGTTGAGAAAAATTCCTGGCAAAAGTTCCCATCCGAGTTTGAGGCTTTATTTTCATAAACATGAAATAACCATCATCCCCTCACCACAGTCGTGTGTAGCAGTTAAAAACTTGTCTGGCTCGTCCTTTTTCCCTGCTAGGATTTCTACCAATAAATCAGTGTCATCTGGTCTAAGGCAAACAAACAAGGCTGCTTCAAACCATAAACATTTATTGAGGACACAATGCTGGAGGCAACAAGGTGTAACTTCCATAGTTGCCATGATTTACTCTGAATCTGTCAGGGGCAAACTCATCAGGAATTAATGATGGAGCCACAGACCTTTGGGATGCTGCTAGGAAAATATTTCCCTTGAAACCAGAAGGATTAAGCCCTTACCCCACACAGACATTAACCCTTGAACTCCTGCAGCTTTAGTCACTGGCTCAAAGGATTTCTCCAGGGGCTGGTGGCCCCAGGCATGGTGTGTCCTCCTGGCCCTGTTTGCTCCTCCTGCTTCCCTGTAATCCTATCAAAGCCAATTAAGCTGTACCAGGCAGCAACATAGCTGCAGGCAGAGGGCAGCCAGAGGGACAGATCACCTCCTCTCCAGCCATAACCTCTCAGCTCCTGCCTTCTCCTGGGGTTTCCAGCCCGGGTTTGGATCATCATCAGGGATGCAGCAACAGCATCACCTCCTCCATGACCCTCCACCAGTTCCCCAGAGGGATTTGCATCCAGGAACTGCAGCAAGTCCAACATTTGTCAGGCAGCAACAGAGGTGGTCTAGGTCAAGTCCCAAATCCTGGATTTCTGAGCACAGGGGGAGGAGAAGGGACATCTCTGTGGTGTCTAACCCAGACAGAGCTTTCCAGTGAGCTCAGAGCTCAGTGCAGCATCAAACCTGCTCCTCAAGGCTATGGTTTGCTGTCTAATGGGAGATGTCTCAGACTTCCCTCTGCAAATTTCCCTCTGCTTTTTCATCCATCTCCTCTGCTGCATCTGGTCTCCACAAATTTGATTTTATTCTTAATGTCCATTTAAGAAATCCCCCTGTGCAATTACCTACGGGCTGCCCTGGAACAGCAGACACAGCTTCTATGAAGAAGCAGAGCAAGCATCACGCTTTTCCTCCCTTAGTGCCCTTCCCAGGGCAGATTTTCCAGCAGAGGGGACACTGTGTGCCTCTTCACACAGCCAGACCCAGACCGTGAGGGAATCCACCCAGCATCCCCCCCCAGGGGAACACAGGATGTTCACTGTGACTCTCAGTTACTCCCAGCCCCGGGGCTGCCCTGTCATCCTTCTTTCACCTTGAAATGTCCCTTCCTTCTTGATGAACCCCAACATCTCCCAGGCAGCTTTTTGGGGTTGTTTTTCACCCACCAAACCTCCCCTTGTCCCCTGTTAGCACCAGCAGCTGGGCAGAGAGTGGCAGCCCAGCTGTGGCAGTGAGCAGGATGTCAACCACCCTCCCCTCCCTCCCATTTCAATGGGAACTCTGCTTCCATTGATAAATTTGAGACAAATCTGCTCATCTTTATTTCGGAGGATCAGAAACCTTTCAGCACAAACATGGTTACAATAATACCTTAATGCACTGTAAATGTATTGTCTCTCCTCCCACAGCAAAGCCTCGACTGCTTCATTAAGGCAGAGAAGTATTAACTCCCTGGCAAGGTTTCCCATCTCATCTCATCTGGGAAACATGAGCCCAACCTCTGCTGCTCATAACGCTGATAAATGTTACAGATAAAAGCTCGAGGTTGTCACTGGGATCACTAATCACAGCCTGAACCCTTTGCAGGCAGGACTGCAGAGACTGTTGGCATCAGCCAGTACAGCAGCAACCTGACTTCTCAACATTGACTTGGATCAATCATGAAATCAAAGAATCGTGGACTTGTTCAGGTTGGAAAAGCCAGCTGAGTCCAACTGTTTACCCAGCACTGCCAAGGCCACCACTAACCCATGTCCCCATTTAAAACTGCCTTTTAAATTCCTCCAGGGGTGCTGACTCCACCTCTGCCCTGAGCAGCCTGTGCCAGGGCCTGACCATCCTTTTGGTAAACAAATTTTCCCTACTCCCCAACCTGACCCTCCCCTGGCACAACCTGAGGCTGTTTCCCCTTGTCCTGTCACCCAGCAGTTGGGGAATAAGTTGAACAACACCCCTTCTGGCTCCAGACTGGCCAGTCCTGCCATTCTCCCCTTCTGCCTCCCAGAGACAGGGGGTGGGAGCATCCCTACAGTCCCTGAGGCTCCCACCCTTCCAGAAGAGCTGTGATGTACCCCGAGATGGGGTCACTGACCCTATTTCCAGAGATCATGAACCCCATTTCATCTTCTTGAGCCACAAAAGCATCCCATGAGTGTTTCCCCTTGGGGATAAGACACGTTCTCCACCAACGCCATCCAGGGAGGCAGCAGGAGGGATGAGGAATGAATCTTGATTTCCCAGGATGGATTCAGTGCTCTAACTCTGGAGCACATAATCCCTATTCCTGTCTCTGTCTTAGTCTCTGGGAATAGCTCAGTCATGGAGTGAATCCTTCAATCCCTCTGTGCCTCAGTTTCTCATTTGTGCATTAAGGGAGTATCTCTCGCCTCCCACCTGAAGTCTGTTTAAATCCTACACCAGAAGCTTCTTGCTGTGCTCACAGTTGCAGAAAACAAGACACTGAAATTTGGAAGAGGGAGGAAAATCCAATGCTGTCTAAATCCTTGGTTTGCTCAGCCCTCAGCACAGGTGAAGAGCATCACTGGGAGCTCTGTAGGGATAACTGATGCCTCTTTAACAGGACATTTGGCAGCAGGCACAGCAGGACTCCAAACACCCTGGGAGTCTCTCTGACTGCTGCAGCCCAGCTGCTGAAGGCAGAACATCTTCAGAGAACAGTCATTGCTGCAAATAGAGGGGGGAAATGAAAATTGAAACTGATAACTCAAAATAACTGAGCATGGACAAGAGCTATTTTTCATGGGGTTTTTTCCTCACAAAGCTGTGGATTGAGCAAGAGCGTTTCTTGGCCTGCAAGGAACAAGTTTTGTGGGCAAAAAAGATCAGCCAAGCGACTCCCTTAGCTTTAACAGAGCTAAATTCCATCCAGCCTGTGGGAATCTGTGGGTTACGACTCGGGAGAGAGTCAGACCTATTTTAATATCCTAAAAACGTGATTAACTGGGTGGCATTATGATGGCTCAACAATGTTAATGCCAATTCAGCTGTAATGGGGATCACATTCCAAGGCCTCCACAATGACAGCAAATGATCCCTCCAGACTGTCCTCCACAGCTCCTGTTGCACGGCATTATTTGATCATTAAGATCTAAGATTACATTGACAAAGCAATTTAACCACAAATCCTGGGGAAAGGCAGGGCAGCATTCCATTGTCCACAGGAGTGGAAGATGACCTGAGCTTCTGTGAGGGGAGGAGGAAAACCAGGGAACATGTCAGGGATTAGGGGTGAAGCTGGGAGAGCATCAGTGTTAACCCAGACACAGCCTCAGCATAAAGATATGAAAACCCCAATTTCTGGCAGCAAAAAGCATGGTGTGGGCTGGGGGGGACTGTTTGGCCCCTGAATACTTTATTCACTTCTGGTTGTGGTTGGTGACAGTCACTTTGTGAGGTGGCACAAGCCTGCACCACCTCCCCGAGCCGAGCAAGTCAAAATGACATCCCCTGGCAGGGAAAACTCTTGGAATCCCTTACAACCAAACCCAGCAACTTTACCTGTCTGAATGCATGTGCTCGAAGCAGTTTGCCCTAAAATACGGGCTCTGACTCTTCACAACAGTATTTTAAGCTGAATTTTCAGAGGATGCCTAAGATACCCAGTGCGAATTGGTGCTTAACTCCAGCTGCACTAACAGCCCTGGTTTTAAGAAAATTGGTTTTGCTTTCCATAGAAACACCAGAGAATCTGTAAGCCACTGCTGTGCCACAAAGCATCCCTTGTGCAGGCTCAAGTGTTTATTTTTAAAACGTGCCCTCTTCACCTTTCTCCACTCTTTAGCCAGTTATATCCAGACAAATAAATTGGATCAGAGAAATGAAGGAATTTTTCCTGTGTTCAGCAGCTGGGATGGAACCAACCTTGACCCTCCTCTGCCCAGCACCAGGCACCAGAGCCTCCCAGGAACTGGATCCACGAGAGCTGGGCAAGGAGGAGATGGATGGAGGGCTCTGAGCTGTCTCACCCCAGCACGAGATCCCTGTGACAGCCCCTGGGTCAGCTGACAAACTGTCAAGGACTTTCAAACTGTGGTTTTTTCTCTTGGATTTTTCCACCTTTCCCCAATCCCCCTGATTTTTATTGTGGCTTTTCATTTGCTCGTTCAGTGAAGGTCGTGTCAGAGAGGAGGGAAATGGAATTGCAGGAGTTTGATTGACACAGCCCAGGGGAAGACAATGAGGGCTGAGGCACTGCCATGGTGCTGTGTTCAAGGGGGACAGGATGTCTGGCAGTGACATGTCTGGGGGGTTGATGGGGAAGAGCCACCATTTACAGAATCATGGAATGGTTTGGGTTGGAAAAAGGACCTTAAAGCTCATCTTGTCCCACCCCCTGCCACGGGCAGGGACACCTTCCACTAGCCCAGGTTGCTCCAAGCCCTGTCCAACCTGGCCTTGGACACTTCCAGGGCTGGGGCAGCCACAGCTGCTCTGGGCAACCTGTGCATTGATACAGCTTGGGGACAAACCAGCCCTTGGAGAGCAAGACTTGTCCCCCAGAGCATCCCAGTCCCTTAAGGACTGGCAGGATTGGAGGAGCCCAACCCAGCTCTGGGTATCCCCAGTCCTCATGTAACTGTGGTAACCCACAAAACCAAACTGAGGGGACTCTCCAGGTTCCACCAAAATCACACAACAGCTTTTGCACAACATGAAACTGCTGGTGGTTAAAACAGGGAACATGCAGAGGAACACAGAAAGGAGAGAAAATCCCCTCTTTTAGTTCATCTTTATGCCTTCTAACAAACACAGGAGCAAACTCACTGTGGGAGAATTATCCTGAAGCCACCAAACTTCCATTAGAGTTTGATAAAGTCTTGGAGTGAAACAGGGTGACTCTGCCTGGCTGAAATGAGAGAGCCAAGACACAGAGACCAGGATGCTCCAGAGGGCTGGACCCCCAGCGACACCATCCTCAGGCTTTTGGCCTCAGAGGAAATGACAAAATAGCAAATTAAAGCTTGCACAGGTCACCAGGCAAAACACATCAGTGCTGCCCCAGCCTCCTGGCCTCAGTTAATCAGTTCACATGAGGCAGTGCTTTGAGAGCAAAAAAACCTCACCCTGCATTAAGTGGTAATATTCATCATCCACTTCCCAGCTGGAAATCCAGGGGAAACTCTTTTCTGCCTCAAGGCTCTTCTGTCTGTCCTCCCTGTCCTCACCTTAACCCTGGCTCACCAGTGCTGGTTTGGTTTGCTGCAGAAATCCCTCTCTCAGGTTGCTGGGGGTGGTCATTTGGTGCAGGGGAGATGAATTTGTTTGCAAACACAGGCCGGGAGTTCTTTTGGCTTTAATGTAACATCTGGACGCTGGTAGAGCTGCATTTACCTGTAACATCTGGACACTGATAGAGCTGCATTTAGCTGTAACATCTGGATGCTGAAAGCTCTGCAGAGCCTGCAGGTAAAGCTGAAGCTCCCTAAAGCTTCCCAGCCATTGGGCAAAGGCTTCATTTCGAGCTGGGAAACCCAAACCAGCAAAAATTCAGAGCAGAGGAATTTGTCTGCAGAGAGCTCAAAGATCCAAGCTCTGCAGCTCAACCCTGTGGTTTATTTTTAATCAGATTTCCTGCTTTTTAGCTTCAACAGTTCTGGGGGATCCCCCTGAAACCCGCTCAGAAATCCCCAGGTGCTGTTTGCAAGGAGGGATGGGCCAAAAACGACTTGAGGAGGAGCAGATAAGTGGCTTTTTGTCTTCCTAAGTGCTCTCATCGGGACCAGAGGTGTGAGGGGTGATGGTCCTGCTAAGAGGTCACTCACGGGTGCCACAGGTCAGGCCCATTTTGCTGACCCACGTTCTTTTTGCCAAGCGGTGACAAATGAATTCTGCCCACAATTATCACAAGATTTGCTCCAACGACTTTTCTTACACAACCCCCCAAAGCCACCACGTTCCTCTTTTCCATTTCTCTAAGCTCCAAATGGCAACATAACCAATTTGGGGGTGTTTTCTTAGGGGAGAGAGGGGGATTTCTGACCCCTGCCTTTTGTTTTTTTGTGTACTGTACTGGGAAAAACACGTGGTGGCTCAGCCTGGGGACACCGGGAAGGCTGATCTGCTCTGTCACCTGCCACAGTAACCCCAGCAACAGCTCTGCTGGCAGCAGAGGCAGGAGAGGATGCTGACTCACTGCCTGCTTCGCTTTTGCAGCTCACCCTTCAGAAAAAGAAGAGTCTTACCATTCCTTTCCTTCAGCCCCTGTTCTTAAAAAGGTAATGAAGAAGCCTTAATTATAAATGAGAAAAAAAAAATCAGCAGTGGCTCTTAAGGAAAAGTTTCACTCCACCAAGGAATTCATTCTGGTTCCAAAGGCCCACCATGAATTCACTGAAGTCATTGCAAACAGAAATGACTCTGAGGTGGAAGGGTTTGGTGCAAATATATATCACTGCATTATTGAAACCTGGAGATGGCAAGAAAGGAAAGGAAACTTGAGAAGACCTTCTCAAAAGGGGAACTCTCCCCAAAAGTCCCTTCTCCCCTTTCACCTTATTTCTGTTTGCCACTTACTTTCCCTTTTAATGCAAATCTGGTGTTTTCTTTGCTGCTTTCTTCCTCTTCTTCTCTTGGGGAAGCACAAAATGAGATGCAGAACAGCCTAGAGAGAGGAAATCACTTGACTTTGCCTTTTTCTCACAGCTTTTCCTTACAGTAAAGTCATTTTGACTGTTGGGTGGTGGGTACAGAGTCGAGAAATAGGGTGGAGATGCCAGTGGGAGCAGGACCAGGGGTGGCTTTCAACATCCTGGGAAGGGAGAGGAGATGCCATGGAATTCCCCACCAGGACACGTTCTGCAGCTTTCCCCTCAGCATCAAAGTTTTGTGACACCCTCCTAATAAATAGTGACTTTGGCAATGCTTTATTAATTGCCAGGACTTATTTCTGCTTTTGATTCCTCCATTTGGCCCCTCATGAGGAGTGTGCAGGTGTCCCCCACACACGGTAACACTGCTCTTGCCAGAGGTCAGCACGTCTGGGCTGGGTTCCCTCTCTGCTGACCCCAACTCCTGTCACTCAGCAGTGATGGAAAAGCCTCACTTTCCACTCAAATGGTGAATTTCCAGCCCTCCTGCAGCACAGAGACAGAGAAAACCCTGCACAAGATAATATTGTTGCTGTCTTCTAAAAAATCTCATGAGGTGCCTGAAGATGTCAGGGAGGGGGAAAAGCAGAGGATGAGTTGTGACTCATGGCTGGGAAATGCACGAGGGTGGCAGAGCCTGTTAGAGGAAAATCAACCCCCAAAAAACCCTCCTTGCTCAACAGTTGGCATGAGCCAAAATCCAGCAGGGAAATCCTGCTAAATCCTCCAGTTTCTGCAACACACACGACCACGTCCAGCACTGCAGGTACACAGTGATGCCAGAGCCCAGGGGAGGGGGATAATGTGGATCTGGGGACATGACGGATGCTGAAGAAGCTCTGCTGGCCCTATAGACCCTACACACACCCTACACACACCTTTCTTCCCAATCCACCCCCCTTTCAGCTGACAACCATCACTCATAAACCTCCCCAGGAGCCTCTGTGACTTAAGGTCAAGTCCCTCCATTCCCAGCAAGAATCCTCTGTGTCATCACAGAGTGATGGAATCATTTAGGTTGGAAAAGACCTCCAGGATCATTGAGTCCAACCTATGACTGATCCTCACCTTGTCCCCCAGCCCAGAGCACCAAGTGCCATGTCCAGCCTTTCCTTAAACACCTCCAGGGATGGGGACTCCACCACCTCCCTGGGCAGACCCTTCCAAAGCCCTTTCCATGAAGAAATTCCTCCTGATGTCCAACCCGAGCCTTCCCTGGCACAGCTTGAGGCTGTGGCCTTTCATCTTGTCACTTATTGCCTGGGTGAAGAACCCGACCCCAAACTTACTACAAACTAATTTCTGCTAGAGAAATCATCTCCTTTCAGGTGGAGATGCCTCCAGCAGTTCCAGTCTCCTTCTCCTGGCCCTGACGTGGGGAGTGAGGGAGAAAACGTGTTTTTTACCCCATGCCCCCTGTGCAACAGTGTTCCAGGCTGTACCTGCCTGTACCCATCATCTGCTGCCTGCCTTTCACGGGAGCTTTTAATAGCTCTGTTATGGCAGCAAAGAGGGTGAGAAGCATCTCTGTGAGCTGAATTGAAATGCTTTTTAATGAGGATGATTCACGGTAGCTCCCAGCCCCGGTGTCAGCCCTGGCACCAGTGACATTTCCTCACGAGGGAGCTGGGAGGAAAAGCTTCTGGCTACTGGAGTCTGCAACGTGGAGCAGAGAGGGAGGTTTGGACCTGAGGCTGATCTTTGCTCATCTAGATCCAAAGTAAAGAGGTGAAAGGAGGGTTTGAGCTCCCAAGTTGGCAGGATTGCCCCCAGCTGTGATGTGAGCAATAATGCAATCACCTCCTCCTCCCACCCGACTCAAGGACAGCTATAAAACTAGAGGAGGGGGTCCTGGACCTGCATTTTGGAGGCTGCTTCAACATTTAAAGATACCTGGACTGCAAATTGGGGCCAGGAAAAAGCCAGGAGGCTCAATCCACTTTGCTCAGAGAAGTTGTGGCTGCCCCAGCCCTGGAAGTGTCCAGGGCAATGTTGGACGGGGCTTGGAGCAGCCTGGGCTAGTGGAAGGTGTCCCTGCCCATGGCAGGGGGTGGAATGAGATGGCCTTTAAGGTCCCTTCCAAACCATTCTAGGATTCCATAATTCCATGATCCAGTGCCCACATCTGGGTCTGGGTTATCCCATCATTCGTGAGTCCATAAAATAGATTCTTTCAACGGTCCAGGAAACCATTCCTTAGTCCATGAAACAGATAAAATTGGGACTATTTTGCAAGGTGATGCAGAAAATCTGGGAGGAAAAAGGACCAACCCACATGTTCCCTCCTCCCTGTCCCAGAGGCTCTGCAAAGCCCTGAGGTGCCTCAATCTCCCCATCTGTAAAGCAGGGTGCAGGTATCGGCCTTGCTTCACAGAATACCCTGAAATCGAGGAAAGATGTGATTAGGGGTGGCAATTATAATTATTCGCATCCTCTAATTGCACTTCAGGGCTGTGTCTGGATTCTCACATTTGTCAGAAGGAGATAAAAGGTTTTTTGCTGATCGTGTGAAGACTTTCCATCTCCCTTTGATGTGCTGTCGTTAATAGCTCCTTCATTTGATTAATTCTCAGTTCTGCCCTCGGTCTTTAGGAGCTGCCACACAGACTTTGTGAATGGATTGGAGGAGATGGAGCAGAGATTCCCCCTGAAAGCTGCTCCAATTCTCATTAATACAAATCCCTGCAGGGTGAACTCCCAGCCCGGAGCTCATGCGTGAAAACAGCAATGTTTATAATAGTAATAATAATAATAAATAAGGGGGCAGGCTCTAGAAACCGTGAAATGCCTCTGTGTGCGTGTGGATGTGTGAGGGAAGGTCCCAAAACGCAAGTGACAGCAATAACTGAGGCTTTTTTCAGAGCAGGAGTGCTTGGACTAATTGAATCTCTGCCTCGTTACATGCCGTCCGATTTAGACCCTCATTATGCATTTGGCAAGTACTTGGCATAACAAATCAATTTGAAATGGCACATGAGACTCAAGTAATTCAAAATGAAACTCCAAATCAAGATTACAAGGCAAGACTAAGCCTCCTCAGCTCAAATTATTGGGATGGAGAGGAAGCCCATGATGAAGATGAGTGGAATAGGCTGGAGGAAGCCTCTGCCACCACCTTCCACGTAGCCTTAGGTCAGGAATTTTAATCTCTTGGGGTCTGGACCCTCATACTGGGATTTCACGTGTGTTATTTCTGTTTCAGAGAGTATTTCATTCTCCTTTTCCCAGCGAGGGGACAAGGTCTAGTCTGTGGTCACTGCTGGGTGTTTCTGGTTCAATCATGTGTTCATCTCACTTTCTGCTCAAGAAATAACCCCAAACCTACCCAGTTCTTCTCCTGAATTTACCTCCATAAAAACCCCTTTGCCACCACGCCCTGCATGCTCTGTCATCCCTCTCTGCTGATCCCAAATACTTCCCCAAATACCTCCCAAATATCACAGTTCCTGGGCTTCACACAGCAGGATGTGGGAAGAGGCATCGGGAGGTACCCACAACAGGACTGGGGTGGAAACAAAACATGTAAATCCAGAAAGGCTTCATGAACATCCCAACGCAGTCCTGTGTCACAAATCCAACAAAATGGACATGGATGTTGTCCAAGAGGCTTTGAGCAAGGTAGAACGTGGCACAAGTTGAGCTCAAGTCCAGCTTTGCTTACCCAAAGCAGCTGAGGAAAGTACCAGCATGTTCTCGGGGCATCTGTCTGGTCAGGCTTTACCTCTATGCATTTTAGGAATTATCCAGCTGGGATTAAAAATGCCTTCCTCCTCTTCTTATTTAAATATAGGTTTTCAGGCTAACACAAAAAAAGAAAAATTAAAAAAAAAAACAAAGAAAAGAAAAAAGAGAGAGACAAAGCTTTGCTCAACTAGAGCTGAATAATTAGGGCTGGCTAATAGGATGTACTGTGGGGAAGCACAGAAGAGAGTCTTGCCAGGATGAAGACTCTGGCTAATAAAACCTACAGAACAGTTCAGCTGTGGTTTCTGGGACACTGCTGGCTCAAGTTTACAGCCTCTTTGTCTTCTGAGTCCCCAGACATGGGTAACAGATGAGTCTCCAGGGATTCTGCTGGGATGGGACCACCCATTTCCTCCTGATCTTTGAAAAGATCCCAAATAAACAGAAGGTCCCCCCTGAGCCTCCTTTTCTCCAGGCTGAGCCCCCCCAGCTCCCTCAGCCCCTCCTGCTGCTCCAGACCCTTCCATAGCTCTGTTCCCTTCCCAGGACACATTCCAGTCCTTCAATGTCTTTCTTGTCAGCAGGGGCCCCAAACTGACCCCAGGATTTGAGGTGTGACCCCACCAGTGCCCAGCACAGGGAACAGACACTGCCCTGCTCCTGCTGGACACACCATGGCTGGGACAATCCAGGTGCCATTGGCCCCTTGCCCACCTGAGCACACCTGTGCTCACAGTCAGCCGCTGTCACCAGCACCCTTCAGGTCCTTTCCCAAGTTTCCAGCTGCTCTGCCCCCAGCCTGGAGGGATTCCTCAGGTTGTTGTGACCACCCAGACACTGCTTTCCCAGGACCTGAAGAGGTGGATCCTCCATGGACACACACAGCTGGTTTCAGGGCCATGATGCCAACACTGGTTGAAAGCCAAGCCCAGGCAGTGCAGGTTTGGTGTTTCTGTGACTTCAGCCCCGAGTCACCCAGAGGGAGAGCAGGTTTGTGGGTTGTCACGTAACCTCCTCCTGCCATTCCACAGCTATGTAGGACACGCAGCCTCTGGAGAGGCTCCAGTGCTGATAAAGCGTTCTGGACTCATTGAGGGTTGTGCTGCAACGTGTTCCTTGGCAGATGGGTTATCTGGGCCAAATCCTGCACTTAGGGATACCCAACACACCTCTCCATGACTTCATTAAGCCTCTGGATCTTGCTGAGCCACACAGGCAGCAAGGCCGGGGGTCTGTGTGCACTGGAACAGATTCCCATGTGCCCCATGTGTCCCAGAAAAGCTGTCCTGGCACAGAGACACAGGACCTGGGAAGAGTAAGGCAGAGGGGATGCAGCCATCACTGTGAAGATGTCCCACTCAGTGTGACAAGAAGCTTGGGGCCACCCCAGGCACT